GTACAAATGACGTGACGTTATTTTAGATATCTGGAAGTTCAACCCCTAACCCCCCCCAATGACACTGTATTTGCAGTTTACACTCGGACACTTTAAAATGTTGCACTGCTAAATTTATCTTCCCACGCTGCTACATTAGGCTACTCATTACTTCATCCATCCTGTACATTCCTATTATTATACATTTTATTCTCTACTTCTTGTTTTTATATACCTGTAAATATTTTTTTCTATTTATATAATTTGATCTTGTAGCTAGTTTTTATATTTTATTTTTTATATTCGGATGTAACTGGGGCCGTGACTCTCAATTTCGTTCTACCTCATGTAACACGTGATGTGAATGACAATAAAGTCTCTTGAATCTTGAATAATTGCCCAATATACATGAGTGGGAAATGTGACGTCATTTGGTGCATGTTTTACGTGGGAATCTGCCGCTGTAAATTGTGCATGTGCAAATAAAGAAGCACAGGAGGCTGTTATTGAAAGCTGTCCAAAAGAGCTGCAGATAAACACACAACAGTTGCCTAATTTTTAAAGCCATTGGCCAGGTTTTTGAGACAGTTTAATCACATGAAATTGATGCGGATTTACACATCCTTTCCTTTGGGAACCAGGATCATGTAATCCATCTCTGTTTGGAGCTGGTTTAGGAGGAAATGTCAGATTGAATCAAACTGATCCAAATTCCCACTTTGGGAGATCACCAAATCCAGATTATCTGCATTAGGATAACTGCTGTGCTACACATCAACCAGTAGATGGCAGTATTATGCATCTGTTCTATATTCAGCTTTGTTTTAAAATGATCTCTGGTTGAAATAGGGGAATATTTTCTCTTTCTGTGTCATCTTTAGCAGTAGACCTATGGTCAGAAGCTGAACAGGCTAACTTGGCCCATTAGTGTGATTGTTGAAAAAAATGAAAATAAAAATGTACAGAGAAATATAGTTTAATATATGCTGCACTGCATGATTGAACTAAAGTGTTTTAGATCAAATTTTAATATTTGATTCAATTTTAGGCCTAAAATTGACATTGAATCCACGCTTCGGGTTTATTTTAATCCAATTTTTTTTAAAACAAAACTTTATCCATTCGTACTACAAAATTCTGAAAAACCCAACGTTTGATCTGAATCAGAACCAGGATTGGATTATCTGATCTAATCCAAGTGTGAGCCATATTTTTTTTTTTTTGAAGAGCTAATTTTTAGGATTTGAAATAATTCACTATCCAAAATCTGAGTGGATTACTTTTGAAAAACCCAGATGACTTTCAAATGAAATAAGAAAATTTGATGCAAAAAGCTTACATTTAATTAGGCTTCAAGTGGTATTGTCTCCTCCTGGTTAATGTAACTGGTTCTTCATTTCCTTCTCTTCCACATGCTACTAATTACATTTTATTTGTTTCTCTCCTCCTAGGCGAATATTGTTGTCATGCCACAGAGAATAAACCTGATTTATTTACCAACAGCCTGCCTTCTCAGACTTCTGGTTCCTCAGAACCCCTGATATCCAGACCTGATTGTTGCAACACCTGTTCTCAATGAAAGAAATAACTAAATGGATCCTGGCTGACAAAGTGAAGAGTACCAAAGTTATCCTCGAAAGCTAGACATTGTGAAGATATGCTAATAAATTTGGGAACAAATGAGAGAAAAAGTAACTGATTTATCAGTCTGGAGAGAGTTAAAAGTCAGAGACTGGGCTAACATAGCCTGCATGGCAGCGTTCAATGAATAAAACCACTACTGATCAAAAGGAACTTTTTTCAGAACATCTTAAAGATCTTCATGACCTTTGGGAAAATATTCTGTAGTCTAACAAGACAAGGATTTATTTTGGGAAGGTGTAAAAGAAACACTGCATTTAAGAAAGAGAACATCACACCAACAGTAAAACATGGTGGTGGTAGTGTGATGGTCTGGGGCTATTTTACTGCTTCAGGAACTGGAAGACTTGCTGTGATAAATGAAACCATTAGTCCAGCTGTCTCCGAAACATGGAATATAGGCTGTGCTTATTTGGCTGACCTGTTTTGTACCTAATACTTTGTTTTTTTTTATTTATCAAAAGTTATGGAATAAATCTCCTTTATTATTGAAGGCAAAAGAAAGCATTTTTTATTTTTGTACATTTCAGAACTTTTCCTGTTTTACTGAAATAAAGGATGAGAGCTACGGTTGCCACCCTGCAATTTAGTATTATCAGGTTAGAACCTCTCAACAGCATCTGTTGTTCTACAGTCTGAGGTTCTTGCTCTCAGTAGCTGACAGGAATATTAATCTGTGGGATCCTCTGCTGCTGTAGCTGATCTGCTCCAAGGTTCCAGGTGTTCCACATCCAGAGATGGTGATCTTTTGGTGGCACAAATTTATAGTTTTAACTTCACTGGCTTTCCTTTGACATCCCCTGGTATTAAATACTACATATTTGTTAAAAATGCAAAAAAAAGGACACAGAAAATGCTTTTGTTTCTCAAAAACGTGTACATTAATTTAAATAGATGACAATGTAACATTTCATCAGCCTGATTGGCCCAAATAACTGGTTTTCATGCCTTTCAGTTAGAAGGTTTTTAGATATATTACACATTGTTGATCCTCAAAAAGCTCCCCAGCAAATAATCATTAACATTTTATATAAAGTTAAAACTAATAAGCACCTTAATTTATAAACTGAGTTAAAGGATCAACTGAAATAATTTGAAAATATTCCCCTTTGCATCAAGTATATATGGCAAGTATTGTTTTTTTTTTTTCTCTTCTTCTGATTAATTTCTTGCAATAATCTCTAAACTATTCAATGCATAACTTCAATGTTTAATCAGAAATTAACACTAACATTTTGCTGGTTGTTAAATAAATAATTTTATTGAAGATGTATGTAAAGCTTTAAGCTGAAACTAGTTGAACTACACAGGTCTGACTATAATAATGAAAAAAGAATAATACAATTATATTCAATGACATTTCTT